CTCATTGACTCCAACACACCTAGCCCAAGCACCCTAGTTATTTCATCAGTCCATCTCATCAGGAGTCTTCCCCTGTGCTGTTCCTCCACCCTTCCAAGCATGATGTCCTTCTCCAAGGACTGGTCCCTCCAGACCACATGCCCAAAGTATGTGAGACAGCTTCAAAATCCTAGCCTCCAAGAAAAAACTTGGTTTCACCCTCTCCAAGATCATCCTATTTGTTTTGTATTTGTGTGGTCCATGGTATGTTCAAGACTCTTCTCCCGCATCACAACTCAAAGGCATCAATTCAATTCTTCTTCTGCTGTCCTGATTCAGTTGTTGAGCTCTCTGATACATAGCAAGTAATTGCAAAGACCATGCCCTGCATCAGGCTTATCTTAATCTCTAAGACTGACATCATTGCTTCTCAGTCTCTGGAGAAGTCCCCGATAGCAGATTTTCCCAGAATATCAAAACAAAATAACACAATGTCTAGGATGCAGTAGGTAACATCCTGACAGCCACTCAAAAAAAAAAATAATCAGAAGATGGTAAAAAAAGTTATGAAAATAAAGAATTAGAAATCCTTCCAGAGGAGAAAAGCTACTGTAACTTCCTGATAAGGAATTTCAAAAAATGACAGTTAAATGTCATCTACAAATAGAGAAAAACATAGAAAAAATTTAATAGATGGAACATTAAAAGCAATACAAAAAATTGAGGCAAGCTCTGGTGGTCTAGTGGCAAGAAGCTGCACTGCAATCCCAGAGGTGTGCAGTTTGAATCCACCAGATGCTGCTCTGCTGGAGAAGGAGGGACAATCTCCTCCTATACCAGTCAGATCTGATTTGATGGTACACACACACACACACACACACACACAAGAATAAAAATTTTTAAAAAACAACCCCAAAACCCAGCAACTTGAAATTCTGACTATGAAGATTAGAATTTCAGAAATAGAATGCACACTGGAAGGACAAAAGAGCAGAACTGAAGCAATGAAAGATACATGTAGTGAGACAGAGGACAAATTCCTGAATAAAAATTTGTTAGAGGAACAGTCAGGAAAAAGAAGGACAATGAAGAAAATATAAGAATAACTTAGGACAACATCAAGAGGAGTAACTTAAGTGTGATTGGAATTCCAAAACAAGAAGATATCAAAGCATGGAGTAAACTGTTGAAAATCTGGTGGGAGATTTACCGAACATTATGAAAAATGAGAAAATAAACAATTCAAGAAGCTAAATTAATCCCAAACAGAACAAATCGAAAAGAAAAACAACAGGACATAGTATAATCATATTTTTTTAAAATTAAAGACAAAGAATAATCAAAGCAGTGAGGAGAAAACTCAAAGTTGCCTACAAGCAGAGCCAATAAGACTAAACTGATAAGTTCAAACTGCAAGCCTTTTAGTTAGTTGTTGTTAGGTGCTATTGAGTTGACTAAGACTTATCATAACCCCATAAATAAAATATCTGGACCCTGTCCTCCTGACAGGGTCACTTACACATCCTGACACACTTGCAACAGTCCTCGTGTCAATCCATCTGGTTGAAGGTCTTCCTCTCTTTTACTGACCCTCCACCTTTCTGAGCGTGCTGTCATCCTTCTCCAAGGAAAAGCCTCTTCTAACAACATGCCTGAAGTATGTGAGACAAAGCTTTATCATCTTCACCTCCAAGGAGCACTCTGGCTACACTTTCTCCAAGACACATTTGTTTGTTCTTTTGGCAGTCCATGTGATATTCAGTACGCTTCTCCAACACCACAGCTCAAAGGCATCAATTCTTCTTCTGTCATCTTTATTCATTGTCCAGCTCTCAGATGCATAGCAAGTGATTGGAAAGACCACGGCCTGAATCAGATGCACTTTAATCTTTAATTTACATGTTTTAGTTAGAGACACACATAAATACAAATATGGCAATGGAGGCATACATCTTCATTTAAGATATAAATACAGATACTGCATAGACATAACCAAACAACTTCCAAGATTGGTTTTCTGAGTTTGAAAGCTTAAGATCATAGTCTCTTGAAACATCTCAGATAATTGGCAGATATATTTCACAAAAACTATGATGTCTTTCTTAATAAATTAAATAGTGCCAGAAAGCTGATATGCTTTCAAGTCACTATCTAAAGCATAACCACAGGTTCTGTCCAACTACAGGTTCTACTTATCAAGAGCTAAACAGAAAAAAGAAACAAGTTTATCTGAGCCATAACTTCATCACCCTGAGACCAGAAGAACTAGAAGAAGCCTGACTACCACCCTTGACGATTTTGACCAAAATCACAATAAAAAGAATAGGAGAAACTGTAAAGCATAATTCAAATTATTATTTTTTTAAAAAGTAGTTAGAACAATAGAGAAAAGAAGTCTCCCTGAGATTATTGTCCAAAAAAACCCTTTCTCCTGAGATGACCTTTCAGCAAAATAGCAGAATGACGCATGAAACAAAGATATCTCAGTCACAAAGGGACAAATACTGTACAAGTCCACTATTCTATTAATAGAATCAAGACAGGGAGGGGGGAAGAGTGGGAACAGAATGAATACATAATGAACACTGGACTGGAATCAATGAAAGGAAGGACTATCTGAAAGGAATGGACAATTAGAAACTATGTGTATGACAAGTAATAGCCTAGAACAGAACAAGCAATACAAAGGGAATGAAAAGAGGAAAATGAACATGAATAAATGAAAATCAATCTCTTTGGAACCCTTCAGTTAAAAAAAATGGTATTCACAATTAATAAATCATTGTACACAATTTTTAAAAAACATTACCCATCAGATCCATGGTCTACTTAAAAATCATCAGTATGAAACAAAAAATAGTCAACAATTATTCAAAAGGAAAGATGGGAAGATAGGGAGGAAGGAAACTAAGCCCCTGGAAGAGGAACAAACAGAAAACAAAGACAATGCAGACAAACTGTAGACCAACGTCACTGATGTCACTACACAATCTGTGCTGAAACTGTCAAAGGAGACCCTAACTTGCTTAACCAAAATTCTTTTCAAATTCTTTTTTTCAAAATAGTGAGGAAGAGGGGAATTTCACTACCATCCAGGAAGAAGAGGCAGGGAGTATGCTGTGTCCTCTTGGGCTGTAGATTCCTGAGCAAGATGGAGACCTAGGGCAGCAGCAACAGTAGTAGAGAACAAGAGACTGATATGAGACAGAGTGGAACTGTGGCCACACAGCAACAACACCAGGACCTTCGTGAAGGCTTACTGGAGGCCTGAGGGTAGACATCCTAATTGGCAGAGGTAAAGGAGTTGTGTAACACTGGTTCAAAGCCATGAAGCTGAAGCTCAGAAGGCCTGTGACCTCTCCTGAGAAGCTGTCCTGACTAAAGATTTTTCTCCTATTACCAACTTGAATGGTAACCTATTACTGCTGCCCTAATAAGCCCTATAATCCTAAGTATTATCTATAAGGATTTTTGTTTTCTTGATGTCGAGATCATGATTTGTATAATATCTCCTTTTCTAAAGACAACCCACATTTTCCTCCTAAATATTGAATAAACATGAGCTCTTCCCCATACTCTTAACCTAATGTACAAACATTCTCTCAGAACTTTCCTTTGCTAAGACAGATTTGGGGAGCCCATACCCTCTATCTCCTATATGCTAACTTGTATCATAATACTGTTTTCTGACTCTATCTCTTGTCTCCAAGATTTAGGGTTTTGGTACCAGGAGGCAGAACTAAGTTTTTTCTAGTAACAGAAGTGGGGGAACCCAGCAATGAAGAGCTAAGTTTGGACATGTTTCTTTGGTCTAGCATATAGAGATGCTATGGATGAGCAAGGAAAGGTTACTGGTCTGATGTGCAGGATGTCATGAGGACACCTGGCCTGTGTTGACTTAGCTCATGTGAGAGGTTGAGGCTGAGAGTAAAGGAACTAACCAGTCTGAAATGCAGCCCTGAGATGTATGGACCCCTGAGTTTGTGGCTGGTGCCCACTGGACGTAGCCACAGATGGCTAGGGATGAGCTGACCAGAGCCTGACTAGATGAAAAGAGCAAATGTTTGATGTTTTGAGCTAATGGACATTCTGCAATCTGATGCTTCCGATAGACTGAACCTCATTTATAGATGCAGATATACAAAGTTCTAACCAGAGGATTTTTTCAAAGAAAGGAATATGTTCATCTCAGACTACTGATTTGCGAGAAGCAAGCAAGTGGCTATCTAAAATGTGAGGAGATAAATGCATAAAGCAGCTGGCTTACACAATTTCATTAATGTAGTTAATAGAAGATGATTGTGAGGGCAAAGTTAATCCTTGATGCATGAAGGTCAATGCTAAAAAAATCAGGAGCTGGCCAGTGGTGCAGTAGATTAATTGCTGAAAACGGTTTTTCTAGCCATTGGTTTTGACTCTCCACATGGCTGGATAGGAATATGCTAATAATATTAACAGGGTGAGTAGCACTTTTTGGGTGGGAACATGCAAATAGGCTGTGTAGACTACTAATTAGAGGGTTTGTCAGTTTCATAATCCAACCAGATTTAAAATGAGCAGATCCAGAGGCAGAATATGCAAGCCTCGCTATCATCAGAAAAGAAGCAGAGAATACAGAGCATCCTTTTGGGCTAGAGATTCCTGCACAAAGACCCAGAAGAGCAGCAGCTACAGAGGTCAAGGAGAACCAGAGAGACAGATATGAGACTAGTTGAACTTGAACTGTTGCCACATGGAGCCAGAGTTGAGGGCCTTCACTCAGACTTACTGGAAGGTAGTGGGAGATGTCATAATTAGCAGGATTAGATGAGCTGTGTGATACTGGCCCAAAGTTGTGAAGCTCAAGGTCAGAGGGCCTGAGATCATGCCTGAGAAGCTGTCCTAACTGAAGAACTGTATTCTGTTTCCAACCTGAATTATAACCTGTTACTCTCCTAATAAGCTCCATAATTGTTGAGAGAGAAAGTAATGAAAAAAGATATATGAAACAAAAAAAGACACCCTCTACTTTGGGTTCTTACCTGGTGCCTGGTCGGAGAGTTCCTCGAATGCGGTCATCTTCAGGTAGCACATGCCCACAGGGGCTGTGAGCAGACACAGGCCCTGGGCGCTGCACTGTCAATACCATCTCTGTCCACTGTTCAGGGACCTGGGAAGGGGAGGGGCAGGATAATGTGGGAAGTAAACACACACACACACACACACACACATACACGCTGGGCTTTGAAGTGTCACAGGGTCTGACCTGGGGCTCCAATCGCACCAGTAGATCATAGTCCATGGCCCGTGGCACAGAGGTCACCAGAAACTCAAGCACCTGGCTCTCCCGGAGCCTTACGAAGCCTCGCCCTGTCCAAGACGGTGTGCTCCCTGTAGTCACCATGCGTTCCACCACTTCCAGTGCCTGGGAAGTTAAGCCAGCCAGGAATGGTGACTCAGAATCCTTTTGCCATGGAATCACCTCCAAATCCCAGTTCTCCTACAAAAGTCTGTCCAAGGCTTCTCCCATCCCAACCCATGCACAGTCCTCTCAGCCTGCCAGTGCCCTCCATTCTCACAAGGCACTGCCCATAAGCTTGCTGCCTTTACTGTCACAGTGCCACCTATGCCCTGTCCTCTGCCAAGATTCTGCCCCACCTGTCCTCTGGAGTCTTCTGCCTCCCAAGTCAGGTGGTCCAGGAAGGGCCGGAAGTAGCCTGGCTGCACCTGCTCACAGCGTCTTCCAACCATGTGTTGGCGACAGCGGCACTGACCTGTGGTTGCATCACATCTAGGGGCAGGGATACCATGGTTACTCAGGAGCGCATACTCTGCCACCAAGGCCCTTACTCCCACCCAGCTACCCAGAGCCCTTGTGTATCACTCACTGGGGATCCAAGGCACCACCTACATCGCAGTCACACGGGCGGCAGCCGAGCAGGTCATGGCTCAGACCCCAGTGACCAGGCTGGGAAAGAGAGGCTTATCAGGGACCTCCTTCTACCACCCAGCAAAGACCCGAACGATAGCTCACAGTTTCTAACACCCCTTGGTGACTTGGCCTCCCAGACTTGAATCCTCTTTAAGCCCTGGCCTCCCATCTATTGCAGCATGGATAAATGGATAGGACGCTTAACCACTGTGCTCTGAGGGCAAGTGTAGAACCTTAAACCCCAGGCCCCTCTCCCAGTCGTACCAGGCAGCGGTCACAGCCACGTCCAGTAACAAGACGCTTGCAGAAACAGGTCCCACTGCTGGGGTCACAGGGGGTGCTTCCAGATACTGTGCCCCGACCATCACACTGACACCCTATAGGGAGAGAGTCTCATCAGCATTTTTGGGTGTTTTAGTAGTGCTCAGGTTCAGGTGTAAGAGGTCAGGAATTAAAGGTCTGCACAAGAGTTAGCACGGGAGATACTTACGCCGGCAGCCTCGAGGATCACTGGCACTGAGACCAAAGAAGCCATCCCGGCACTGCTGGCAGCGAGTGCCCACCACATGTTCTTTGCAGCGACACTGGCCTGCGACTAGCCCCAATGCAGGGTCATCATGGGAATCACAGCGACCACCATCTTGGGTACCCATGGGGTCACAATCACAGGCTGAGGGGTAAAAAAGGCACAGGGTCACCATCTCCTAACTAACCCAGCTCTTGTTCTCTCCTGGTCCCCACTCTGGACTCCTAGTCTGATGCCATCCTAAGCCCCTCATCTCCCAATTCACTGTAACCTGAATGGTAATCTGGTCCCCCAGCTCCCACCTCAGGCTCAGTGTCTTCCCCCACGCCCGCTCCAGGCCTCACAGCGGCACACAGCTGGGTCCCGGAGGTCCTTGGTTGGGTCTCGGTAGAAGAAAGGCCGGCAGAGTTCACAGTGGTGTCCAACTGTGTTGTGCTGACATGCATCACACACACCTCCACTCACATTGCCAGATGCCAGGTACATGGCCATGTCAAAGTGGCAGCTGTGGGAATGCCCATGGCATTCGCATTCTGGTGATGGAGGCAAAGCAAAAGCATGGAACAAAGAAATTGGGGGTGAGGGCTGTAGAAGCTGCCAGTACCTCCTTAGGTCCCTGACTTGGTATGAATTTAGGATTTAAGGGCCCCAGGGACTTACTCTAAGGTCTTAGCATCATCCTGAGCCCCTACCCAGGGAACACCATGGAGGAGGGCTAAAAGTATTCCTAGTGGCATCAAGGATACCCTTTGGATGCAGCCTGGATTTTTTAGAGCTTTGTGAACAAGCTCTAAGGTCAACTCTGGTTACCCCAGGGTACAGATAGTCAAAAAGCTCTGAGCCTACAGGGACCAAGTTCTCACTCACTTTTGCAGGCATGACTGTGGCCATCCTCAGCTGGACGCCATGGCAGGTCATGATAGAAATCCTGACACTGCTCACAGTTGAGGCCACGAGTGTTATGTTTACAGACACAGGCCCCATGTACCTGGAGTGAGCAACAGGGGCAGACAGGCGGTTAGCATTGTCCGTCCAGTCAGCTCTTTTCTTAACCTCAGCCCTATCCCAACTAGCAGACGCTCCTCACCATGCCCTCAGCATGGGCTGGTGCCCCTGGGGCTGGTGCGCACTGTGAGGCATGTCCATAGCAGAAGCAGTTGCCACGCACAACCAGCTCATAGAGCGCATAATAGTACTTCTCTCGGATTTCCCGCCGGGGGTCAAGCAAGTTGTCTCCAAGTGTGTGCAGGCGAGTCAGGTTCACCCTTAAGTTGGTAATCTTCAGCAGGTCTGAGTGTGGGAGAAGTTTTAAGTCAGTTGCTGCTCTAAGCCCACCCAAGGGCTGCACTGCCAAGGTCACCTTGGGAGAACTCCTGTCTACTATCAACCAAGCTAAACTGGGCTTGGCACTTGCCTTAGGAAACACTCAAAATAGCTACTGTGATCCCAAATAGCCATCAGCCGGATGCTGGGACTGTGCCAGACTCAGAGTGGAGAACTTACTCTGGATCCGTGGGCTGTAGGGGTCTGGGATGGGGATGGCAGGATCTAGCACACGATAAATGACCTGGAAGGACAAGGAGTCCAGAGTGACACTAGACCTTGTCTCAGGCCAATTGTTCTCTACGCCATTCCCCACTCAGGTCCCAGCCCTCACCTCGCCTTCAGTGGATGGCTCGATCTCGGAGTAGCGGGACTCACAGACTACATCATCCCAGTGTCTCGGAGGGGCCAGTGGAACCCCTGGGAAGTCAGCCCCACAATCATAGGAGAAGTATCGATATACATGCCAGGTGCGGCCAAAGTCAGCAGAGCGTTCCACCAGCATGGCAGCAGGGCGAAAAGTCTACAAGTGGGGGGTAGGTACAGCTGATCAAAAAGTATCTAGCACTCATAACTAGTCTAGGCCCACTGAGGGCCCTGCCCAGCCAGGCCTAACCCTGCTCTGCCCTCAAACAGCTACAGATAAACCAGGGTGACCATAAAAGACAGGAAATAACCAGGGAGGGTAGTCATCTTTCCTGGGGAGGATAAAGCATCAAAGGGTCCAGGGAGCTCTGGATTCAATCTGGGATTAGGACAACAGATGAGCTTAGGCAAAAGACTGGAGGCATTAAAATGAATGAACAGGGAGATGGGGCAATCTCGCGCACAGCCAGGCACAGCATATGAGCTTCAAAGAGGCCAGATCTAGGGGCTGGAGCTCTACCCAGGAGCAGTGGTTAGCTAAGCAGGGCAATTCGGGCTGGGTCCCTTCCATGCGTCTACCTTAAAGGTCATAATGAGGTGTGTGAAATGGAACTCAGCCTCCAGGTCCAGCTGGATGGTGACCATCGGAACACCTGGAGAGGGACCCAGAGATCAGGAACTCAAGGCTAAGGTCAAGCAGCCCTACACATCCCACGTCCCATTCCACCACTTCACCATTTTCTGACTGCCACCAGGCTGTCCGGCGCTGTGGTGCAAAGCTGGTGACAACATTTTGTATGCGGTGGCTATTTGGGTTGTCTCTGGCAGAGAAGGGGCGCCGGGAGTCACACAGGAAGCACTTCTTCTCATCCTGTGTTAAAATCAATCGGGATAAAAGTTAGTGCCTAACTTGTGCCTGCCCCATTCTGCGCCCCCACCCCGCCCATTCTACCTCCATCCACACCTGCAGATGACTGACGATGCAGTAGGGCTGGGGGCTGCGCAGGCCGCAGGTGGATGAGGCAGTCAGTCTATCCGCTCGGCCCACCAGCAGGTCCCCGGTAGCTGGGTAGCAGCTTCCCCGCGAGCAGCTTGGCATATCCGGGGCCTGGGCCAGGGCGCAAACCAGCCCTGGGGGCAACAGGTTAGCCAAATCGGGTCGACCCCTCTCCATAACCCTTCAGCAATGGCCATCACACAACCCACAAACACATATAGAAACACTTAGCCCTTATCGAGCCCCCTTACCGCTCATCAGCAGGCCCAGTTGAAGCGCCCAGGGCAGAGGCGATCCACACGGGCCCCTTCTGCGTACCCCTGAGGCCCGCTCCATCCTGAAGCAGAAAGGAATCTGCGATAAGTGGAAGGGACTTGGGGATCCACGTCCACCTGTCCTCTCTCTCTATGGCCCTGTGCTGACCTTGCTGGGAAAGTACTTGCCTGGTTCTCTGCCCAGACCTCTTGTCTGCTGGTCAGTTGGTCGGTCCCTTCACTCAAGAGTCCAGCAACTTTGAACAAAGTTGGGAGGTGTGGCAGGAAGGAAAGCATGGAGCGGATCGCAGGAAGAAGCGGAACTCCAAGCTAAGCCCCCATCCCTCTATCCTTCCACCTCCACCTCTGTTTATACCTTTCAGAAACAGCCCTTACTCCAAGAACTAGACACCGGCAGGCTCACTGACAAATCTTTATTGTGTTTTCACACTTGAATTTTGTGCAGGAACTGGAGGGAACGAAAGAATTCTGGGGTTTAGGCCCTAGAAGAGAGAGCATACCGTTTGGGGCATGACAAGAAGAGGGAATCAGATCATTGGCAGCAAGCACACCCAGAAAGGCAGTGTAGCTTTTGTTCTGGCATGGTGGGGTTATGGAAGTCACGGTCAACTCGTTTTGGTCTCAGGACTCCAGCATTAAAGTAGAGACAGCAGATCTTACGTAGGGGACTGAATCCCCCTATTCAGGGCTGTTTGGGGTGCTTTAAAAGGACAGCTGGGGAAAAGCACAGGACATAGACTGGGAGGGGGAGGAGGTGGGGAAACACCCTGACTTGCCCGAAAGATGGTCCTGGCAGGAGTGAGGGTGTTGCGTCTCCCCTAAATTCAAGGAAGCAAACAAGAGTAGTACTCCCTCTGAAGAGCTGTGAACGAATCCCGATCTTGTGGCTAGTTATCCGCTCCAGACATTGCAGCTTGCTGGGAGCTCCAGAGCTTAGGTTTGGAATGCGCGCAGCCGGCAGGCGCGCGCCACACCCAGGCTCCTGGGACCTCGGGGGCCCACGAAGTCCAGTCCGCTGGTGGGGATTGGCAGGAAGCACTCAGAACTACCGGCCTGGAGGGACTGGGGGCTCCTCTGGAGACTCATCTGGCCTCCTAACAAGAGGAGCTAGGAGAAGGGATGTCAATCTACTGGGCTTCCAGAGTTACCGAGTGAACTGTGATTATATGATCACGCAGGGAATCATGTTGTTAACCAGAGGGGCGCAGGAATACTAACGAGGACTCAGAAGTTTTAGTAACGTAAAGATACGAATCTATCAAGGATAAAGGCACTGGATGGCCTTATTGAATCACCCAATTAAATGTTCCCTCTGGTTTCTCAAGGTAGAAGCGCAATAGGAGATATAATGGGGTCACAAATGGGCCACTGGGAAGTTAGAGGAAGGCTGTGTCTATGGTCTCTCAGATTCAGAGGATTCTCAAATCAGTCTGGAGTGACTTTTATTCCCCCAGGTGATCCCTCTTGCTGGCATCTGTAGATGACAGTCAGCAGGTGGCATAGATGTTGGCACCCAGTCGCATATACTCCAGCAGCTCCATAGCCCGCTGTTCCAGGGCTTGCAGGGTGGCTGCCTTCTTGCTCAGTGTCCGCTCGTTGTGCACCAGGCGATGCTCCAGCCCTGGAGATGAGACTGCCTGAGCCACATTCTGACCCCAGCCCTGACCTCTTTAATCAATCCAATCTCATGATCCTAGTCCCAAAGCCTTTCTTGACTCTGGCCCTGACTAGCTGGAACTGTAAAACTAGCCCTGACACCAGACAACAGCTAATTCCATTCTAAATTTTTAGCCCAGCCGTGATCTCTGCCTCACCAAGGACCTGACCTGGACCTTACCCTGATCCTTACCCTACTCTTGTACCCACCCCACTTCTCTGGCCCCCTCACTACAGCCCAGCCACGCACTCTCCAGGCGGTTCCAGATACTCTGTGTCCTCTTCAGCAGCTCTTGGGCCTCAGCTTGTATGTGGTGAATTCGTACTTTGGTGTCCTGCACCACTGTCACCAAGCCAGATGTGCCCTCCTGCAGCTCTGCCATACCTAACCAGGCTACCTGCAAGTCCTAGAACAGGGGCAGAACATGAAATCTCACTCCTTCCAGGCCTCAGGTTTTTGGAAATAGAAGGTTTAGGAAATGATACTCTGCCCCAACTCAGTATATCCCAGTCTGACCTAAACCACACCTCCCATTGTTGAAGAAAAGGCTGTGCCCACTGTTTCCCACCTCACCTTGCCCAGGCCCCCAGTGATGCCTGCAGCTCTGACTGCCCATTCTTCTGCGTCCTGAGCCTGCTGCTGATTCAGGGCTAAACACATCCTGAGGGCTTTGGCAGCCTCGAACAGATGACCCAGGACTGGAGTCACATCTACTGCCAGAGCCATCTGCCCTGCTGCCTGGGGCAATGGTCAGGGGTCACAGGGAAGTCATAGCAGAGAAGAAACTGGGTTCAACGTTTGCATGATCAGGGTGCTCTGTAGCACCCTGGCACCACAGTGGGTCAAAGGCAAAAGGAAGGGAAAAGAATAGGAATCATAACAGCCCTAGATACGGAGTGTGAGGGACCTGTGGGCTTCAGGTAGGGTGTTACCTCCTGCACACTGGCCTCCAAGCGTCGAAGTGCCTGCTTTGCCAATTGGAACCCTTGCTCTGCAGCTCTGGTGTGACTGCCCACCTTGGCTAGTGCCCCTTGAACATCCAGCATTTGGTCCAGGACCTTGGCTGTACCCTCTCTGAAGGGCACAGATGGTCATCTGGGGGTATCCCTTCACTCCCACCCTCTGACCTCCATTCCAGCTTCTTGGCCCTTCACCTGGTCTGCAGTGCTTGTTCGAGGATGCCTTCAGCTCTGTGCACCTCCTGGCCCACAGCGCCTGGTGCAGGGAGGTAACCTTGAATCTGATCCAATAGGTGGGCAACACCTGTTGGCTCACCTTGGAGAAGGGGCACTTCAAGTGCATCCCATGCCACCAGCTCTATACTTGCCACATCTGCACCTTCATCTGTAGGGAATGAGATAGGACCTGAATGTTCACTCTCCTTCCTGACTCAACAACCCTTGACCTAGGCTTCTCTCTGACTGTCCCTGACACCCCTGCCCCAAAATGTACTGGAGGATTACAAAAGCCAACTGTTAACTTTTCAGGAATTTTACAAATCAGTCACTAAATAGTCAGTTGGCAAATATTAGATTATTTTCACCATGGAAATGGTAAAATCCCTAAATCAGTTTCCCTTGATCTCCTAAAATGTTATTAAACATTTACTAGCATGCCACTGCTCCTACTGGACCCCTTGTGAATGTGAGTATGAATCATTCTGGAAGGAGGACCAGCACCCTGGCGGTGCCTGGATGCCCATCCATCCCGAATCTCGGCTGTGAGAGACAACATACATACTCATAAGGAAGTGAAGGATGGTCTGCACAGTTGCTTGCATATGGGCCATGGCAGCCATGCCCCAGGGCCCTCTTGCACGATGCCACGTCTCCCAAGCCTGAGATTCTGAGGCGCTTGCTATATTCTGGATTTGCTGCAGCTGTAGGATTGGGCCACATGTAGAATGTGTCACCTGCCACATATGCCCAAGTCATGGGGCCCCTGTGACTTGTCTCATGGCTCCCACCCATGGCCTTCATGACTTTCTACCAGTTGCTGATGCTTGTCCAAGGCTGTAACTGCTAAGCCCAGACTTTGGGAGGAGTTACGAGAGGCAATCAGAGCCCACTGGACAGTGTGCAGAGTTCCGGGACAGTGGGGAACTCCACAGGGTGCAGGAACACAAGCCAGTTGAGGTCCCTGACCTCTGCATTCCTGGAAACAAAGTGAAGGATCCAGTGAGGCATGCAAGTCACAGAGTCCCTACTGTCTTATACTTGGGGTATCCTTAAGAAAGAGTTCACCCCTCAGCAACCCCCCCCCACAACAGGGGTGTACACCCCCACCCACCACGTCAGCTCTAATAGAGACTCTCAGCAGCTGCACGTGCAGCATCTGGACCCTTTTGACCAGCCCCTTGAGTTTCAGTTCCCATATAGTGGTCCTTGTGGGCTGGCCCATCCCCCAGAGCAGCTGCTCTGTCCTTTGCCGGGTTTCTTGGGCCTTCCCCAGTATGCTGTCTGGTTGTTCAAGTGTGGCCGCAGCTTGGGCACTGAGCATGGCCTCTTGGGAAAGCAGAGCAGCCTCAGAGGTCTGGGCCCCAGCACCTGCCAGGGATATAAGAGAGGGTCAGAGATCTACCCATGGCCACAGGCCAGTTAGTTTCATGCATCTCCAGATGCATTGCACACAATGGTGCCCGGTCCCTTCTTCCTGCCAAACACCTCAACTGGCATCTATCCACCTATCCCCTGGGCCTCACCTTGAACTCCTACGACCCTTTTAGTCCAGGCCAAATCCTTGACACAGCCTAGCTCCCAGGACAATGCTTCCAAACGTTCAAGCTGCCCTTTGATCCATAGTCTACTGTCAGCTACAGAATGTTGTATGGTCTGTAGTGTCTGGGCCAATGTAGTAATTTCTTTCCTGTGGGAAGAAATGGCATCAACCTGGCCAGAGATGATCATTGCTCTATGACCTTGAACTCAAGGAAGTCTACGTGACTCCAAGACACCATGATACTCTGAATCCGTGATCTTAGGAAGCTAGCTGGGGTTTCCTTCCCTGCCAGACTTCTCACCTGAGTCTGGCTGTCCACCTTGTAAGTTGCTGCAGGGTCCCCACAGAGCAGGAAGGTGTTTCCAGAAGTGCCTCTATCTGCTGTAATACCCCTTCCAGGGTTTGTAGGCATCCACCACTGCCCTGAGTCCCCTGGCCAGGCGTCCCTTGGCGGAGGGCAGTGACTTCCTGGGCTGCAGCTTCTAGCTGCAGCTGGAGGAGAACTAGCTGTTGGTTCCAGGAGGTAAAGCAGGTGGGGCAGGGTGTGCAATATGGGAAGTCACCTCTGGAACCACGGGCACATGCCTGACACTTCAGGCCTGAGATGCCGTCTCTGCAGAGGCAGGCACCTCTGTGCGGGTCACAGCTGGGTGAAATGGAGCCTTGGGGGTCACAGGCACAGGCTGCAGGGCAGAGATGGGGTCCAGAGGAGGAGGAGATATGGCAGTCAGCACAAGCTCACCTTCAGGTGACTGAAGGATGAGGATGCTGTAGTGTGCATTTAGGGGCTCACACTAGACCTGACTTGAATTAAGTTCAAGCTGCTGTGAGCACTCCTCAACCAGGCTGGCTGAGAGGCCTCACAGCGCGGTGGCCTTTGTGCAGAGAAAGAGTGCAAGGCCACAAGGCTGCCACAGCCTGGTCAGGGATCACCAGGATCAGACCTGGGCTGGGAAAGAATCAGCCAAGGTGTGTTCTCTGTGGGCATCCTTGAGCTGGCCCCATTGAGGCATCCTCCCCCCCCCCAATTATTTTTTGGTGAGCAGAGAAACTTCTTACCTACTAGACAACTAGAGCTCCCTTCTCCCTTGCATTTATTTTCAAAAGTATTTGTGTTTTGTGGGGAATAGCAATCAATGTGTTCTTCCTCAGGGAAATCCCAACAGCTTCCCTGCTCCTCCCCTTGAAAGGCTGCCTTGCTCATGGTGGTGACTGAGTGCCTTCTCACCTCTGCACTCTTGCTCTGGGTCACCCCAGTACCCGTCCCGACACTGAGAGCATGTGCGGCCCCCAAAACCTGGCCGGCAGGGGCACTGACCTGTGACCTGGGGGAATATCAGGGACAATTGAGAGAGCTCAGAGGTGACACAGTACACTCCCTTACACTGTCTTTTCCCAGCCATGCTCCTACCCCAGGCAGCACCTACAACTACCTTTTGCTGAGGGCCCTTCCCAGTTGAAGACTTCTTCTGGCCTGGTTCCCCCAGGTACCTCCCATCCTCCCTCATCCTTCACTTCACTTTGGGTATGTGTGAGCTCTTTACCTTTGCTTCTTTTTGTTGAATACATCTCACTCTCCCAAGCCCTCTCTTCCACGGTCTTCTCCCTCTGCCTATGCCTTCTCAGTTTCCTCCCTGGCCACCCACCCCTGTCAAGCTCGCTCTACTTGCCATGATCCTCTTACAGTGGTTCACATGTTAATTTGCAGCTGAATATGGATTCAGACACGTGTAATCTCATACCCATTCTCTGAAATGCCCCACAATCTACTCACAGTTCATTCATACAGAACACAGACTCATAAAGCTGTTTGCAGGGCATCACATGGACACTACCACCATCCATAAAAGCATGAAGCTTATCAAAGGTGTGTATGTATGTATACACACACACACACACACACACACACACACGTATATTTACTCACACCTGGGCACTGCCACATGCATGTACTATGTGTGCTCACTTACTGGGTGACACACAGGCCGCAAAGCATGCTGGGTATGGCAATCACAGGGCTCACAGCCCTGGGGGCCGCCCAGGTTCCAGAAGAGAGGGGCACAGCGGTTGCAGTCCCGCCCCAGTGTATGGGGGCGGCAGAGGCATTGCCCGCTGACCTGGCTGCAAAAGCAGGCTTCAGCTCCAGAGGGACACTGTGTGGGGACAGTGCCCCGCGGATCACAGCTGCAGCCTAAATGGAAAGAAGACTTGGCGGAGCCTGTGGAGGGGAGAACCTACTCATCGACTTTGGGATGCCCTACCCACCACGCCCACTCACGCCTGCAGCCCCCTGGGCGCAGGGCACTGCCATAGAAGCCAGGCTTGCAGTGGGCACAGCCAGGGCCATGGCTGTGGTGAAGACAGCGCTGGCAGCGTCCACTGAGAGGGTTGCAGGCGGCAGGGTCATGGGGATCAATGTTATTGTTGCACTGGCAAGGTCTACATGGACTCCTTCCAGGATCCCCTTCCGGCCAAGGGCGTCCAAAGTAGCCAGAGGAACAGCGATCACAGCGAGGGCCTGGAGAGGAAGAGGGTGTATGTAGGTGGTCCTAGATGTCTTTCTACATGCTTTGGACCCGTGGGTTCCACACACCCAGCCAACAAGTCTGACTTGTGGTTAGGAGGGCAACAGACACAGTAGTTACATTGCAGTCCATCTTCCTGGCTTACAAGTGCCACATGTATGTTGTTGTTTTGTACCACACAGCTGGAACCAACTCATAGCTGACCCTCCAGTGGGTTTTCAGAGGCAGTAGATCACACGGGAGGAGATTGCTCATCTTTCTCCCGTGGAGCAGCTGGGGAATTCAAATCGTGTACCTTTGGGTTGGCAGTGCAATTCCTTACCACTAAGCCAACAACACGCCCTGTCACATCCCCATTTGACCCTTCCCTCCCAAAATGAAAAATTTTAAGGGCAGGTACCAAGCTTGCAGCTCGGCAAACAAGCATATGAAGATGATGGGGTTGTAAACAGGGCCATAGAACCACGGATCTGCCACTGCCAAGCATGCCTCACCTGCATAGCCAGGCACACAAAGGCACAGGACACGCCCACTCATGTTGTCCATGTGGCAGGAACTCCCGTAATAGAGGCCAGAGCCAGGGTACCCAGGACAGGGGCAAGGTCGGCACTGTTGGCCCGAGCCCAACACAGGGTCTCCATAATAGCCATCCTGGCACCTGGGGGCAGTTAACAGATGGAGTGGAGACTGACTCACTCATTAAGTCATTTTAAGTCATGTCCAGTCCTCCAGTGGCCTCCCTCACCTCTCACAGTGCCGCCCCGTGGTGGCCCCTTGGCAGTCCTGGCAGATGCCAGTAAGTGGGTGGCACAGCTCAGCATGACCATTGCAGGCACAGGGGTGACAATGTGGGAATCCCCACCGGCCAGGGAGGCAGTGATCACAGCGGCGACCAGCAAGGCCTGCCCGGCACGGGCACTGCCCACTCTGAGGATTGCAGATGGCACTGGTGGCACCCTCAGCATGGCAGCTGCACTCTGTGAGGAATGACAGAGTGATCAAGTCATGCAGGGCAATGAGGTGTTTAGCCTCCTGCCCACTCCCATGCCCACTATCCCTGAAGTCTCACCATTGCAGCCAGTGGGGCCAAAGCCATATGTTCCAGGCACACAGTGGTCACAGGTACGACCAATGACACGGGGACGGCAGGGACACTGTCCACCCAGCAGGGCACACTCAGCACTCAGTGAACCCTGTGGGTGGCACTCACATGCTGATGAAAAAAAAAGGAGCAAGATCAGATGCCACTCATAGTACTAACGAAATCTCAGCTCCACCAATGGGTGCCCACCCACCAAGGCCGCCTCCATGGAGTAAGGCTGAGATGCTGCAGACCAGACGGGTGCAGGCCTCAGACATGGTGCTGGAGGGGCCCATCCTTGCCAACTCCATGCAGCCAGCCTGGCGGAGCTCATGTAGACGCTGCATGGCTCCAGGGTCCACCAAGCGCATCCCAGGCAATTCCTCTACTCGAGGCAGGAGCACGACCTACAGAAAGGCAGAGGGAAGCAGGCAGTGAATCCAGACCCACTCCCCAGCACTTGCTACCTCTCCTTACACATTGGCCCTCACTGTCCCTTCCTGCTCCACTTCTGTTTCCTAATCTTTTGAGTCTGTTCTTGTCTCCAATGACATTTGGGCCTTCTCTCAAGATTCTATTCTCTTCATTTCTTTCTCCGCTCAAAGGCTTTCTATTGTTTCTGTGATAGATGGAAGATCCCCGTCTCATGGACCCTATCAAATCTGGTTCCTGCTTCTCCCTATCTTCTATCCTTTGCATGTGCTGTTCCTTTTGCCTGGGCCCCCCGTTCTCCATGCATACATATGTATACACACTGTTGGCCTATCTCAATCCTCTTGGATTACAGGACTCTCTGACCTCAGTGCCAACACTCTAAACTTTTCCTGCTGTAATTTGTGTCTCCTTCAGGTCTCCCCTAGGTGTGGGACAGAGCCCCTAGAACCTCACAGAATCCAGAAGGATGGTACTGCCGCCAGCCCTCCAAACACCCTTGGTCCGCCACAGTCGCATGGTCATAGAATAGCGTGTTCCAGGCTCAAAGCAGAAAGGCCTGGATAAAGTCACAGCCCTGCAGGGGAGGAGTGAGGATGGGATGAGAATGGGGTGGAGCCAGGAGATCGTGATCATGTAGTCCAAGGGAAGCCGTATTTCTACATCACTAATGGAAAACACCAATTTATTAAAATTCTACTGTTTTAAATGAGGTCCTTGATTTGATTGTTCTATGACATGACCCTATTCCATACTGGGTCTTGGTATGGTGTTAAAGGTGTTAGCAGCACAGCAGGTTCCTCCTGGTGCTGGGGTCACAGGGTGCTTCCTACCTGTGTGCGTGGGGTAGGGCTGCCTGGAACAGATGCTCTGTGGGCAGTACATGGGCACAGCGGGTACTGCTGGGCAAGGATTGGGCATGGATACTGACCAGTACATGCCAGTCTTCTGGTGCCTGGGGTCAAAGTCCAGGGTCAGCTGACCACAGAGAGTTGCCTCTACCCACCACCTGTCATCCGCCCACCTGCCCCCATGCTACTGACTTGAATCTCATATCGAAGGACAATGTCATATTCCAGGGCACGAGGCACTGCAGGTGCCAACAGGAAGAGGCCAGCTCCGTCGGCCACCCGTGCAAAGTTGGAGACATTCCACAGCACTGGACCAGCACTCTGGTCCTGAGACCGGGGATCTGCTGGGGCCTGTAATGTGACACACTGGCTCCCAAGCCTGGAAGCTATAACCTTCAGGGCTTGGTCCCCATTCCTTCCTAATAACCAGTGACCCAACCTTATTCTTCACCTTGGGCAGCTGGCGATTATGGCGGTTTTGTCGAGCAGGGTGGAAGGTACATCTAGGGTCACGCTGTCTCCAAAGCCGGGGCTGGAACCAGCGGGCAGAGGTCCCTCGGGCTTGTGCACAGTGAGGAGGAGTGGGCCAAGGGGTTCCCTGAGTACAAGTGGCATATAAGTGTCCTCCAGCATTCAGACACTGTCCTCTCCCACTGCTGTTGTTAAGTGCCATAGAATCAACTATGACACATAGCGATCCCGTGAACAATGAATCTGAACCCTGTCATCCTGACCATTTCTGACACACTAGAGCCCACCATCACAATCACTGTGTTAATTCATCTCATTGAGGGTCTTCCTCTTTGCTTCTTCCTCCACCTCTCCAAGCATGATGTCCTTTTCCAAGAACTGATCCTTCCTAACAACATGCCCAAAGTATGGGAGATGAAGTTTCACTATTCTTGCCTCCAAGGAGCACCCTGACTCACTTTTCCCAAGACATATTTGTTTGTCCTTTTGGTAGTTCATGGGGTACTTATCTTCCCCCATACTAACCTGGAAATATGAGTTCTATTCTAAGAGCTCTTAGATAGATCACTATGATCCCTGTCAACCTTCCCACCGCTGCCTGGCTCTTCCTGCTTAGAACCCTCCAGTAGGTAGGTCTCAGAACACCCTGAACACTCTCTCTCAGCTTTGATTTCATCTTTCCTTTGGCCTTTCCAGACACTCACAGGCAGCCGGGGGTCAGTTGGCTGGAGATGCTGGCCAAGTTCAGCTTCAGCTGTGGCCTGATCCAGGCCAGCACAGAAATGCCCTGACTGGAGTTCATGGCAGCGGCGGCCACGGAGGTGAGGGCGGCACAAGCAGAGACCTTCCCCTGCAGAACACCTGAGCAGGAGTAGAGATGGATGAGAGCATCAGGTCAACTCATGATCCCCACTGTCTTGAGTCTTGCTCCTCATGTTGTGCCCTGTACCTGTTGCTGTAGGCACCCCCAAAGTCACAGTCACAGGGCCGGCAGCCTGGAGGGTCGCTGCTCAGACCCCAGAACTCGGGCTGCAAGAGAGAGTGGATGGATGGTAGGATGGACAAGCAATGAACTGTGCATGGTGCCCGCCTCCTGGGAGGAGAGGAAACAAACTCCGACTGACTGGCGCTAGGGCTGGGGTTAGGGTGTGGGAAGGGAACAGGGAGCAGACAAACGTTAAGGTTTGAACACCTCTCTGCTTTCTGCATTTACCTAACCTTGGACATGTTGCTAGGAGAGGTTATTCATTGGGAAAGGACATCATACTTGAAAGGGTCAGGGGACAGCAAAGGAGAGGAAGACTCTCAACCAGGTGGTCTGACACAGTGACTGCTACAATGGGCTTGAGTGTGTTGGAGATGATGAGGATGGCACAGGCTAGGTCAAGGTTTAGATCACTGGGTTGCTGAGTCATACATGATGACCTAATAACAACAACTTGCTTGCACCTAAAGGAGAGGAAGGTGATTGTGTGTATCCTCAAATAGCTCCTCTGAGGCAGGAAGAAGTTGGGAAGGCTTTGTTTGGACAGGGTTAAACAAAACATTCATAAAGTTTAAGGGAGCTCTGGTGGCTTAGTGGCAAGAAGTTGCACTGCAATCCCAGAGATATGCGGTTCTAATGCCCCCAGATGCTCTGCCAGAGAAGGAGGGGCCATCTCCTCCTGTACCAGTCAGATCCGATTTGATGGTACACACACACACAAACAAAATAATAAAATAAAAAAAAATCATAAAGTTCAAGGAGAAACTAGAAGAGGGCTAAGCTGTTCCGAGGACAAAGTCTTCCTCCAAACATGTCCAAAATGAAACATCTTTAAACTTTGTACATATTACTGTTGTGTTCTATTCAATGTCTTCCTTTCTCATGCAAGTTCAATTAGCCAAGGCGGTACTGACCTTGTAACCAAAGCAGGGCCCTGGCACCAACCCCTGAGCAAGGCACAGTCACGTTGACCATAGTTTTGTATTGTTAGTTCCTAGAGATTCAGGGCTTAAGGTCAAGTTCAAATCAGGGGATCAGTCACAGCTCACCAGACAACGGCTGCAGTCCCGTCCAGAGACAAAGCGTTTACAGTGGCAGGTACCACTGGAAGGGTCACAGGCATGAGTGCCAGGGACCCGGCCCCGGGAGTCACACCTGCAAGCTGAGGCACAGGATTCTCAGGGTGCTAACGGGGTTACTAGGAGCAATCTATGTGTTATCAGGGCAGTAGTTTGGAACAGAGCAGGGAGGATACAGGTCACTCACGCTGACAGCCTTCTGACTGAGTGGTGTTCAGGCCATAGTGACCAGGTCGACAGGACTCACAGCGTGGGCCCCAGACATGATCTTTGCAGCGACATTGCCCAGAGAGAAGGCCGCGGGTCTCATCTGTGTGGGTGTCACATAAACCCCCTTCCAGAGTACCCTCAGGGTCGCAGTTGCAAGCTATTTGGAGGTGAGGATAGAGGTCATTGTAAGGCTGAAGGATCATGATCAGAGTGGAGACTGGATGTTAGAGGACTCACATCGGCAGGAGCGAGGGGAACGGGGATCTTCCTGGGGATCTCGGTAGAAGAATGGCCGGCAGAGCTGACAATGGCGCCCGGCTGTATTGTGTTGACATGCATCACAAACACCTCCACTCACGTTGCCAGATGCCAGGTACAGGGCCATGTCAAAGTGGCAGCTACGGGCATGCCCATGGCACTCGCATTCTGGGGCATACAATTAGGCAGACATGGGGTGAATTGATCCATAATACGTATGGTCAGGTAGGACAGGGTATGGTACTCACTCTTGCAAGGATGAGGGTGCCCAGGCTCTGCTGCATGCCATGGGTGGTCCTGGTATAGGGCCTGGCAGCGCTCACAGTTGGCACCAGCTGTATGGTGGCGGCAGACGCAGTGTGCATGCACCTGGCAAGGAGGGCCAGATATATCTACCCCAGTCCTCCAGCTTGCCTATCCCACCAGCCCCATGATGCCCTTCCTGTGGTTCTCACCATGCCTTCCGTGTTGGTGGAGGCTCCTGGTGCTGGCCTACACTCAGAGGCATGGCCATGACACAAGCAGCTGCCCTGGACCACAAGCTCATAGATAGCATAGTAGTAGAAAGGGTGTCCCTTGAGGCTCCTTAGTGGCCTGTCACCAAGCGTGTGTAGTTTTGAGAAGTTCACACGGATGTTCGTTATGTGCAGGAGCTCTGGGGACATAGTTAGATCTCAGACTCTTGGGTTCCTTCCCTTCTGATGATGGGATCTCCTCCCCATCTTTGCAGCCACCTCCTTTAACACTCATGTTGTGGGGTTCCCTGATCTCTGCTTCCTTAGGGGCAACCTCCCAAAACAACCATGGCCTCTTCCCACAGTTAGACTCCATGCCTTCTACCAACCCCAATGTTGCTGGTTGGCAAAAACCTGCAGATTCCAGTACTTCTTGGTTTCTCCAAGGACTTCAAACACCCTAAAGTAACCACTGCCTGGCACTCAGTCTAGTAATCTGTTTATCACCTAGCTGAATGGCCTAGGGTATTAATTTGTTTGCTTATTTAGTAATTCTCTTTTTCTGGTTTTGTCAGCTCTAAGACAGATACCTTATCTGTTCTCCATGGAACATTGCCCAGATGATGCCTGGCACTGGGCAGGGCTCAGTGAGCACTTGTTAAATGAATACATGGATGGAGGGATAGGTCCAGGGCTCCTCTCTCTTGTCCACAGCTCAAGTTAGTTACCAAGTTGAGACTACCTCTGGCATCTCGTTCTGCCAGTGCTCTTTCTCCTGAGCCAGACACAACCATGAGCTGCCTAGACTGCCAGCATGAGAGCTTAGAGTGCAGTGGGTGGGGGAGAAGTGCCCACTGACACAGAGGGAAAAAGTTTGAGGACTGTCTTTGTGCTCTGCTGTCTGCACAGCCTGGCTCTGGACTGCTTTGCTAGGTTATGTGACTCTCTTGTCCTATCACAAAAGATTTCTGCTTTTCAGAAACAAAGCCATTGTATCAACTCATAGCTAACCCTCCAATTGGTTTTCGGAAGCAGTAAACTGTACAGGGAGAGATAACTTTAAATTGCCAGAGGAACAACCCAGAGCTTTGGGTTAGCAGCATAATTTCCTACAGACTAGGCTGCCAGAGTGCCCTTTCCAGGGAAGGTGCCAAATTAAAAAATGTATTGGTGCCATGTCCTAGCTACTAAGATGAAAGGCACCAATAGAGACCAGGACTATGAAGCATAGGTGGACAGGGGCAATGATGAGGGACAGTGTGGGGGATAGAAACCCATAAAGGAGAAAGTTACGAGAGTTAGTGACAGAGGCTAACAGGGGAACAGTAATTGGGTCAAAGGATGGACACAGTGACCGAGGAAGGATTAAGGGCAGAGATGGGGAATGCTCCTTGATGCCTGTCAGGAGATAAAAATGGGAAAGAGTAATGGTACAGTTACAGAGGGTGACAACAGAGGACCCTGATGGGGGACGGTGACAGGGCAGTGTTGAGGATGAAGGGATGAAGTGGGGAGACTGAACTGGTATGACCGGGAAATCTGCCCCATTGATACATGCTCCCAAGCAGGACCTCGCCTTCCAGGTTCTAACCTGACAAGCAAGGGGTTCAGGATTGGGCATGTGTGTGGGGTGATTACCCTGAATCTCAGGACTGTTTGGGTCCTCCACCTCAATGGCTGGGTCCAGAACTTCAAAAATTACCTGAAGGGGAGAAGCAAGCGCTAGACTGTGAGTTCATTCCAGTGTTCCCCCTCTGCTCCCCAATCTCTCTCCCTGGGGCTGACCTTGCCCTCAGTAGAAGGCTCAATGTCCGAGTAGTGCTGGTCACAGACGATGTCACTGAGCCTGCGACCAGGGGCAGGAGGGACCCCAGGGAAGAGGCCTGAGCAGTTGTGGGCAAAGTAGCGATACAAGTGCCAGGAGTAGCCATGGTCCACCGAGCGCTCAAGGAGCAGAGCTGCTGGGCGGAACGTCTGGGGACAGGAGAGAGCCCTTCAGTCATCAGGAGCAAGAGTCACTGGTAGCTGGGGGAGGGGGGCGCAAGGTCACAGGGTCACAGGTTATCTAGCAAGCATTCAAGTTGAGGTACTAAGTCACCTTGAAAGTCATAACAAGGTGGGTAAAGTAGAAGGCAGCCTCGAGGTCCAGCTGGATAGTGACATTCTCCACACCTGCAGTCACAAGGACCACTAAGAGGAATTGTACACCGACCCCAGACCCGCACAGATGGACTGACACCCTCACCACTCTCTGCCTGCCACCAGGTCTTCTTGCCACCACGGCTACTCCAGGAAATCACGTTCTCAATGCTGTGGCCTCGCTGGGCCCCAGGGTCACAGAAGTAGCAATTCTCGGAGTCCTAGGGAAGGCCCAAACAGACTGACTGGGCAGAAGTCTAAGACCAGCCCCTTAATTCTAAATTCTCACAGTGCAGGCCTCTCCAGCCTTTATTAGTGTCCTGAACGTCCCAGGACACCACACCACCCTCATCCCAACACTCCAAAGGCAGTCCTGACCCTCTGCCCCACCTGCAGCTGGGTGACAACACAGTAGGGTTCAGGGCCACGGCGGCCACAGGTGGATGAGGCGTTAAGCCTTTGGCCACGGCCAATGAGCAGGTTGCCAGTGGGTGGGTAGCAGCTGCCACTTGAGCAGCTGAGTGGGGAAACGATGTCTGGTACTTGCTGGGCAATGGTTCTGGGGACCTGGACTGGGAAAGCAGGAATTGAGTCTAAGTCCTACACATACCACCCTCCCCTGCATCTCATCCCACCTCACTGGGGCTTCACACTCTGGCTGAGCGAAGATGCAATCCCTCCTCACCCATCTGTAATAGCAGCAAAACTGGCAGGACAGCTCCCAGACTGACTGGGGGTCTTGGACACTGGGAAGTGGAATCAGGCCTGAGAAAGAAGATGCAGAGCGGGCTCTCAGCTGGCCAGCATTGCTGGGTGATTATGACCCCAACTTGTCCCCAGTACTCACATTGTGGATAAACCAGTACAGCCAAGAAGTATGCCGGGTGGTAGGGCCACAGTGCAGCTGTGAGCAAAGGAGTCCCTGGAGCCTGGGGGACCAGGGTACAAGGGTTGGGGTACAACCAGGATAGGCTGTAAATAGCAGCTACCACAAGCAGATGAAAATGGGGGACATCAAGAAGCACGAAGAGCCTTTTCACAGGTCTGCAGTCCAGGGCAGCTGGCGCTAGTGGGGCCCAGGTTCAGGCAAATCTAAAGCAGCAAAAAGGATCCAATTCTTATTCAAATGATGTTCCCACCCCCAGCCCTGAAAGGCTGCTGTCTCTAGGCGCCTCAGGGGAATGTCCCCCTCCTCACACAACCCAGCAGCCACCATTCAGCCAGGGAAGGCAGAGAAATACTGGCAAATGGGCGGGGCAAGACTTGTTGACGGGTGGAAGGTTAATGTCATTCAGGGTCTACCCCCTCCCAAAGGAGTGTCCACAACACCCAAGTACCTTATGTCAGGTTGTCAGAGGGGCATGCTGAGTCTGGATGGCAAGCTCCAGCAGTAAGACAAAGCACCCAGAACCCAGGCAGCCATAGAAATGCTCTGGCTCTTACATGTCAGTGGGGGCAGACTCTGCGGCCCCATATTCAACCCAAGCCCCTAGCTACCAACAGATAAGCTGAAGGTAGTTACTCTCTTGTGAGATGGGGAAGAAGCACACGAGTTACTGCCAGGGCACACCCTGACAAGCCTGGGCAAAGCTTCAAGGTTATAGCCAGAAGTGACTGGAGGACAAGGCCATGCTGTCTGCTGGGCCCCAGGGGAACAGGGCCATGACGCTCCCCTTCTCTGGCCTAGAAACACACTGGCTGAAAAGGTGCCAAAAGAGCTGCTTACTGTCCTCCTGCATGGGGCCCCTCTGGAGTAGATCAAGGAAAGAGTGAAAGGTTCCACCTTTACCCTCGGCAGATGTCCCACATCCCTAGAGGCTGGGAAGGTACTTGCACTGTACCCAAATTGTTTCACATCTCTCCAGAGAGGTCTGGAAGCTGCCCCCTCCCATATCACACCATCACCCACATTGCCTCTTTGGCTAGCCAGTTCCTGGAACAACTTTCCCCATTTGCTTAAGCTGGCGTGTCTCCGAGAAAGCAAGCGCGCGCACACACACACACACACACACACACACACACACACACACACACACACACAGACCACGAAGGGTGGGCAGGAGACGAAGCAGTGGAAAGGTATAAAACGTGATCAATGGAACAATGGACATACAACTTGAAGAGGAACAAGTCACAGTGCATCGCGCCACAAGAAACCCCTCCCGCCCACCCCAGCCCACATCCTCCAGTCTCAGAAAGGATGCCACTGGCCACCAGGGCCCTGAAGAGACACCCGAGTCCTCAAGGTTGTGGAGCCCATGGGCACTGCACACCCTGCTGCTGGCCACACAGCTAGCTGAGCTCAGTCTCCCCAAACACTGCTGTGGGCAGGAATCAGGGTGCCAAGTTTGGTAGTAGTGGTTGGAGTTGTATCACCGGAGACAGATTCACATGGAGGATCTGCTGAGCTCGCTGCCGCATCTCATCGTCCGAGGACCACTGGTCCACCTTGATAGCCCGAAATTTGAGCAGCTTTGCTGTGCTAGGCCCTAGACCTGCCTTAGGGGACTGGGCTCCAAGCCGTGTTCTCTTCTGAGGAGGAAGCTCCTTTGAACCCTTAGCCCTTTTTCGTTTCTGTCCCACAGTCTCAAGGGGGCTTTTTGGTCCCCTCCTTGCAGTCAGAGGCTGAAGAGATATCTTGGGCTTGCCTCTGTCCCTAGGCTTGGTCTGAGTCACCTTGACCTTGGTTTTGATATGCACTGTTTTGGTTTTGGCCTTGGCTGGCACTACTTTGGCCTTGGCTCGAACTGCTTTGGCCTTGGCCTGCACCACTTTGGCTTTGATTCGTGCCACCTTAGCCTTGATTCGTGCCTCCTTCGCCTTGAACTGTGCTGCCTTGGCCTTGATCTGTGTTGCCTTGGCCTTGGCCTGTGCCACTTTGGCTTTGACCTGGGCCTTGGCCACCTTGCTCTGTGTCTGAGACACTTTAGCTGAGGCAGTCTTAGGTAGTGTTCGCGCTATCTTGGCCTGGGCATAGGTAACTTTGGCCAGTGTTCTAGTTGCCTTAGCTTGGACTGTTTTGTTGCCCAAAGAGACCCCTTTCACCCTAAGGCCGGTGAGTGACCCAGATGCTTTGCAAGTCTTACTCTGGGAACCAGTTCCTCGTCGAGGTCCAGCCTTGGGGCCTTTAATAGGCAGGCATTTGGGGCCCTTGCTTGTTATTTTTCTAGGAGCCTTGGGAAGAGGGTTCCCCGCACCTTTCCCTGGGCCCTTCCGCAGCTTTAAGGGAGAGTCTGCAAGTGAGAGTTGCAATGACTGTGCCTTCTGCTTGGCACCCAAGCAGGGCATGGGAGTCTTGAGTGGAACCAGGGCCTCGAGGACAACAGAGAGCCGCATGGCAGGGTAGACACCTGGGTAGAGATGAGCAGGGAAGCCCATTGCTGTACCCCGGGCTCGGCTTGCACTTGACTGCTTTAGGGAATTCAGCAATAGATTAGTTGTAGCATGCTTGGCAAGGGTAGGTGTGGATGCTTTGGCCAGCCTGCCAGAAAGTGGCATGGGTAGTAGTGTGGCCCGGCCAGCGGGCAGCCGCATGGCAGTTCGGGGAGCACTAGCTGGAGGTGATGCTGCAGCTGGGGTTGGAGCACGAGCTTGCAGCTTTGTCTGGCTTGGCGGGCTGGCTGTACATGAACTGTAGCCATAGACATCACCACTACGCAGGACAGTAGGTTGGAAGCCATCATCGCGCAAGCCCTGTAGGAAGGCTACTAGCTGGGCCTCTGTAGCACTGAGATCTTGGCTCATCGGGTTAAAGACAAGCAGCGCCTCCTCCAGGGCCTTCTTCCCTGCCGTGGAGATGCGCGACCAAGAATGAACAGCTTTCTCCTCCACATGCTGCACCACAACACTCATGGCATTAGGCACTGCAGATCTGCCTGGGTATCCGCAAACCAGCGCTCAGCACCTCAAGGTAAGAGGAAAAACATCAATGAGAATGGCACAGAAATAGGAAGCCAGGGCAGGTAGACCATCAGGGCCCACATGATCCATGACATCATCCACTAATACCTAAAGGCCCAGCCAAAGGCAGTTCTTTCAGGATACGTACCCACCAAGTCTGAGCTATCCAACATGTGTAAGCTCTGGAGAAAATGTAATCTCTGCCCTGATTCAATTCTGTGCTCTGAGGTCAGAAATCTAGTGTTTTAAACTCAGACCAAGAAACAGAGGTGAATATGCTTGCCTTTAAGAAGCCCAGTCTAGAAAGTGAGACAAAAACCACTATTTTCATTCTTGAAAAAGAATGGTGGCACCAAGCACAGCATGCTAGTGGCTCAGGGAAAGGTTCCAAGCACAAAACTTCACTGATACAAATGGGTCAAAAAGGAGTATGGCTTAAACAAAAGCACCCAAGTAAGAGTAAGGTGTGCTGGAAATTGGGATCAGAACTGGGGTCTAGCCGGGAAAACAGCTGAGAGGAGGACAGCAGCAAGCCTTGAGTGCTGACCACTGCTCCTCCACCTGCTGATGCTCAGCTGCCAAGAGGGAAATCTTGCCTTCAGTCTCCAGAGAGGCCACCCAGCAGCAGTTACCACTGACAACAGAAACAGAAGGTGGCCAGAGGCTCTAAGTGGAATGGTTAGAATACCAGAGGTCTACCTGGTCCCACCTAGGGCTTCGAAGCACAGACTGCAATAATGTACAAAAGCAGCTCTCTGGGGACACTCAAGTTGTCCAATGCCTCACCGAAAGAACTATGACCATCAATTATGACTGATACTCATCTCAACCTATCTCACCCCCTGAGGCAAGCAGCAGCTCCCCAGATGGAAGAGGAGCATTAAAAGATCAGCTGGGATCTGGCAAGTCCCTGGGGCTAGGAGGCGCGTCTGCACAGCATCTTCCCATTGCCCTAATGGGGCAGAGCAAAGTCTTCAGAATTCCCTGGAGAAAGTGCCCTGGGGCTCTTTGTTAGGAAGCATTCTTGGATCCTCAGGTGTCTCCGGCACTTCCCCTCTCCAGAGGCCATTCTCCGTACACAATCCTTACACGTGATTTTAGTTTCTTTATTTGAATTTTTTTTGGGGGGGTGGGGGGAGGAACGGTAGTACTCAAGACTGAATTGTAGAGAGGCCTGCTCCCCGCCCCCCCAACCTGTACAGACATCAGGGGTGGGCTGGGGTTCTTCCGCTCTGGTCGGTCAGGGCTCTCAGGAGGGGTCTTCTGTGTCTTTCAAGAGACCCTGGGCAAAAGACTGCAGTGAGATCCCTGACTTCCCTTCACACGTGCCCCCAAATCCTACAGGAGAAGTTAACAGAACGTGGGGAGGAGGGAGATGCCCCATTCAACACAGCCCTGGGGGTGGGGATGCATGTCCCTGGGGCCGGAGCCGCGGCCGGCGGCAGGGGTCCCGGCGGCGGCAGGATGCACGGGGCAGCGGGTGCCCAACGGGCGGGGGCCGCGCGGCACCTGGGTGGGGCCGTGGAGCATTGGGTGGGGGTGGGGGTGTCTCGGCCAGATTGGCGGAGGGCTGGGGTCTGGGAAGTCTCGCCGACCCTTCCGCCCTGCCGTCCCGCGGACTGCCACTCCGTGACACAGCCAGGCCCGCGGCCCCAACCTACCGGCGCCGCCGCGGGGACCCAGGACGCGCCTCTGCGCCGCCTCCGCCGCTCAACATGGCCGCCCGCTGCGCGCCGGAAGTACGCTTCCCTTCCGCTTCCGGGATCCGGCCCTCCCTGGTGACCTTTGACCCTTGCACCCCCCCCCCATTTCTCCCCTCACCCCAATAGTCTGGGGGAAGAACAGGCTGGTCACAAGGGAGGGCTCCCTGTAGATGGTGGCAACGGGAACCAGCTCAAACTCTACCAGGCTTGTGCAGGAACCTATGGAGCAGAGGAGCGCTCTGATGTTGTCTCTTGGAAGTTCAACTAGGTCTGAACTGGGAGCCTCATGACACCTTTGTTAGGCCCAGACCAAGGTCAAGAAAGAGAATAGGGGATTCAAAGAAAAGGACATGTCAACAAAGGGAGTGAACGGCCTCGCCCACCTGGCTGAACCACAATGGAAGGTCCCACCCTTCCCTGCCCCCACCCCCACCCCCCCAAGAACCTGCTATAAAAACTTGCCCCAACCTACCTGGCGCACTTGGGTTCCCTGGTCTATCTCTCTCTCCAGACAAAGGAACCTTACCTGGGAGCTCCCTTAATAAAGCTGTCTTTAAGCTTGCTAGTTTCTCTCTAGTTTCACTCAAGTTCGTGACCCAACAACCTTCCTTAAAGAGATCTAGTAATGCAGCATCTTTTGGGCAGACCAGAAAGCTCAAGCCATCCTTTCCTAGGCACTGACAGGGTCCACCTCATACCCAGCCATTTGCCAGGAAGGCTAAGGACAGAACCTCTAGCCACATGGATGTCAGCTAGGGAGCTCCTTGGCTATGCAGTAAGAGTACCTTCTCCTCCCTTAGAATGGGTTCAAAGAACATGGCATGTCATTCATTCAGGATGTGATTAGTGTGCACATGTCATTACACTCTCATGAAAATGTCATCACACGTGTACACACCAGTTCATGTGTGATGTGGTGAAAGAGGTATAGCCTATAAGCTCCAGCATATCAGTACATGTGTATGAATGTACTTGCTTATGCGCATGAACATGGTGTGGTGGCAAGCCCTGAACCTGTCTGAAATTTTCAGAGGCAGAACCAGGGACTCTACTGAGTTGGAACTCCACTCAGAGTCCTGACCTTTACCAAAATACTAGGATCTTGGTCTTCCCTCAGTGCCATGAAACTGACACAAAAAGACAGCATTCCAGATCCCACTTGCCTGAGCAACACCAGATGACAGGATATAGGTAATAATTAGTCCTAGGGATCTGTGATTTCAGGTGAGGTCTTAGTCAATATAGTCTCCACAGCTATGACCAAACACCTTTCTTAGTCAATCGGTAAATCAGTCATAGTCATACTGACTGTAACTCCAACCACGTGTGTTAGGGTTCCCAAAATCCAGTTTGGGAGCCAGTGTGGACGCTCCAATTTCCTGGATAAAGTGGTGAGGGCATTTTCATTTGGGTCAGTTGACATCCTGCTACGACTTTTGAACACTGATATATGCAAAGGTTCCAAATTTACTGTCTAGGGGCACATAGAGGTCTATGGGAAGTCATATGAGAGTAGCGGATACTCCATTAGGAGACTAGTCACTGACTTTTTTACCCGTCCTATGGTAGGGAAACAAACAGATTCATCCTGGAAAGGGTTAAACCAGGTGGCTCCTTGGAGGCAAGGATTCTGAGGCTCCGTCTAACATACTTTGGACATATTGTGAGGAAAGACCCATCCTTGGAGGACATCATGCTTGGGAGGGTGGAGGGACAGCACAGGAGGGGAAGGCCCTCTATGAGGTGGATTGATTCAGTGACTGGGATAATTGGGATGGGAGTGTCAGAGACAGTGTGATTGGCACAGGACAGAGCAGAGTTTAGGGCTGTTGTACATAGGGTCGCTATGAGTCGCAAGTGACTGACGGCACATAACAACAACAACAATGACCTCAGTATCTGTTCTATGTTTTTCTGCCTATGTAGATGGATTAGGGTAACCCTAAAGATCAAAGCTCACCGGACCCAGGTGTTTCCTGGTGCTCCTGAGCTCACTAGTACCTCAGCCCTAAGCATAGACAAGGCTTTTAATATTTCTGCTTTTTGGAGGCCAACCTCTAGGGTGGTTTCCTAAGAGTTAGAGTCAAGGGAGTGTTATCAGGAAATCCTGGAGGAATAATGTGACAGTTACCCCAGGCTCGATCACTCCTTGAGAAACCTAATAACATCTAAAGTAGCCAGATAAAAACCAGACTGGAGAATAAGGCTGTCTTCCTTTGTTTGTTGTTGTTGTTGTTGTTGATTGCCTTGAGTCTAGCACAACCCTATGAACAATAGGCCTGAAGCCCCTTTACAACTATAGACTTTTATCAAAGTTCTTAGAGTTTCGGAGGCATGTTGTTTAGGAGGTGGATGCCACTCCTGCTTCTAATCTGTCTTCCCTCGCCCTCCCTAAAGCTCCTATAAAAAGACACTAGCCCCTTCACTCCCTCTGCATGTGGTCAGGTCATTTGGTGACAACATAGGCCAGTTCGGTTCTTGGGACCAGTTTCTTCCTTTCTCTATCACCGTAGACTCTTTTTCTAACAAGTCCCACTCTGGCAGTCCAAGTCATCAGCTGTTGCTGAGCTCTCTTTCTGGCCCCATCTTAGTTAAGAGTCAGTTGCTCACTCTCTCCACCATTGCAATCTTGTTTTTGTTTGTTTAAATTATTATTTGCATGTGTGTGTACCATCAGTTTGGATCTGACTGGTACAGGAGGAGATTGTCCCTCCTACTCCAGCAGAGCATCTGGTGGATTTGAACCACGCACCTCTGGGATTGCAGTGCAACATCTTACCACTAAGCCACTAGAGCTCACCACAATCTTGCTTTCTGCCTCAGCTGTTGTCCATATGTTTTCCAAAACCAGCAGTGTTGGTTATCTCTATGTAGCTGGGACTCAGGCTATGCAAGCAGAAGTACTTCTGTGAAGAGAAAGGGTCTAGCCTTCAGAGATGACACGATAGCGGGTGTGTCTAGAGAGGAACTCCCTCTATAGTGGTGCCCAGCTCAGAGGTTAGGACAAAATGGAGGAGTAGGGAGAGTAGTCCCATCCCATGGTCAGTGTCCCTTCCAGAAGGTAGGATGGAGGCTCATGGGTACCCAGATCCTTGAAGAGTGAACTTACTTTTCCTACTTCCTATTGCCCAGCATAGACCAGATGGAGCTCTCTAAGAACATGCATCAAAGCAAAGTCTGACTTGGCCTGGACTTCAGGTGAGCAGTCATGTTAACCCTGTAGACAAATGTTGTGTCAGTCATCTTAGG